GAGCTGTATGTCTGTCCGCTGGCCTCTCCTGAGCTTCAGAGGCCAGCCTAGTTTTTTCCGGATTGCCTGACTCAGAACTTAGGTGTTTAGTCTCCCCCTAAGGGTGTGGCCAGTCTCCACCATAACCCTCAGGACTGGGTGGAAGACAGGACAGCCCAGGTGCCGGCAGTGGAACAAAATCATCTCTCCTACCCCAGGGAAGCCCAGAGATGGTAGACACACAGCAGAGAGCACACTTCAGGAAGTCTGATGCGCACCAAATGAAAATACTCAAACCAGTGGCGCCTGGGTGGCTCAGTCGGTTAAGCGTCTGCCTTCAGCCCAGGCAGGTCATGATCCCAGGGTCCTGGGATCGAGCCCCACAATGGGCTCCCTGCTCAGCGGGGAGCCTGCTTCTCCCTCTCCCTCTGCTGCTTCCCCTGCTTGTGCTCTCTCTCTGTCAAATAAATGAATAAAATCTTAAAAAAAGAAAGAAAATACCCAAACCAGCCATCGGGGTGAGGGAACAGGAAACAGGATTTGTAAACCAAAGAACTGGGCCTGAGTCCGGACCACCTCTGCCTCTGTGCCTCGGTTTCCTCTGGCACTGAAATGAGAACAAGGATACCTGTCTCCAAGGGCTGTTGTCCCTGCATGGATGTGAGGGGTTATCTTGCCCCCCTCCCCGCGTCCAGTGCCACCCAGAACAGATGCCCCAGCATCTAATCTAGAAGGAACAGAGCCCAGGGCTATCAGCCAGGCCAGCCTGACTCCAGTTCAGGTCTTCCCCACTCCAGGTTTTGTGACCTGAACAGTTCCTTCCTTCTCTGAGCCTCAGCTTTATCCTTGTAATGTAAAACGTGAGCACCATGTGTAAAGCACCCAGTTGGGGCAGACATGAAACACATTGTGATAAATGGCATGTGATGCTCCTCCCTTGACTGCTTGTTAAGGTTGGTGCTCTGGGAGGTGCCCTGGGAGGGTCACGGGAAAACTTGGGCCCCTGAGTCCAGACACTTCCAGGCACAGCTCACTGCCGCCCTCTGCAGGCCTCTCCACCCTCCTGCTCTCTCTCCTCCTGAGGCCCCAGGTCCTTTATGCTGCAGACCCCCCCAAAGGCAAGCACCCCCTCCAAAGCCTGTTTGGCAGGCAAAGAAACAGAATGAGTTGATGCCCTGACTGTGGGGCTGGACAGGTGAGGCTGGAATCCCAGCAGTTTGCACATCCTCAGCGACCTTTTTCTTTAAATGGGTGTAAGTCCGGACCCCACAGGGTGTGGCACGTAGCGGCTTGCGATCAATATTAGCGGCCTTCCTCAGATGACCTGCTCAGGTCACCCAGTGGGTTGGATCAGGCAGGCTTCCAGAATCCCATTGTCTGGTTGTCGCCAGAGAGAATTCCAAAAGCACATATTGCTTTTTTTCCCTTGCTGATGGAACCCACTTCGAGGGCAGGGAACTATGGGCTCATCTGGGACGTTATCATTAATCACCTGGGAAAGAAAAGGATACTTTGGGAGGGAGGCTTCATCTGTCAGAGAGGTGTCCCTTTCTCTGGTTTGCAGGCCCCAGTTTAGCCCCACCTCAAATATTGTATACATAAGCGAACTTATTTCAGAAACCAGAAGATAGTGGCTATCTCCCCTGTGAGATAGCTTCTTCTGGCCCCAAGGAGACTCCTCTGATCCTCAGTCCTTTCCTAAAAACATTCCCGCCTTGGGTCTCTGGTCTTTTCCTGCAGAGCTTTCTTATCATCCATCCCTCCCCCAGGGAAGGAGGAATGAGGAGGAATATGGGGCCCAGATACATAACACTCTTAATCCCCCATTAGCCGTCTGTCCCCAGCTAGATCTAAACTCCCAAGGATGGAAATCTGTTTGTCTTGTTCCCCACTGACTCCCCAGTGCTCAGCACATAGTAGATGCTCAGCCAGTGCTGGCTGAAAGAAGAATCTGATGTGTGTGTGGCCTGGAGGAGCACACAACCCAGAGAGAATGATGGACATGAGTGGGGGAGGAAAAGATAAGGCAGGCAGAGCCAGGCCTGTGTGTGCTGTGCAAGGATCCAGGAGGGGGCAGAGGTCTGGGGAAGGCCTGCCGGGAGAGGTGGCCTCTCAGCTGGTCCTAAAGATGAGGAACAGAAAGGCAAAGACTGGGAGACGTCAAAGTTCTAGGTGTGTTTCAGGTGCAGTTGGGTTAGGAGACGAGACTTGTGTGGGTGGAAGGAGGTGACGTCAGAGGTAAGGCAGGGCCTTGTAAGGAGGCCTGTAAGAAGTTTAGCTTTTATTCTAAATGCAAGGAAAAGCCTCTGGAAGGTTCTGAGCTTGCACTGTCTGATAGAACTCTCCGCCATGAAGGACATGTTCTACGCTCTGCACTGAACAAACAGCAGCCCCTAGCTTCCTCCTGCGACTCCTGGGCACAACGTGGTGGCGGCAACCGAAAAACTGGAAAAATCTAGTTTGACTTAAAATTTGGTTTGGGGTGCCTGGCTGGCTCAGTCAGTGGAACATGTGACTCTTGGTCTTGGGGTTGTGAGTTTGAGCCCCATGTTGGACGTAGAGTTTACTTAAAAAGAAAATCTTTTAACATTAAATAAATAAATTTTAGTTTGCTTTAACTTTAATGAATTTAAATTCAAATAGCCACAGTATCTGCCATAAGCAGGGGGGTGACTTGCTCAGATTTGTTTTGTGGACAGGTGGGAGGTAGGGGGTGGGAGCAGGGTAAGTGGACAGGGGTTGTGCCACTGCTCCAGATGAGGGGCGCTGGTGACCCAGAACCAGACTAGGGTGGAAGCGAGACAATAGAGAGAGGGGGTCGGTTTCCAGGTTTGTTCTGGACTAATTGATGGATCAGATGTCGACGGAGGAAGGACCAGCTATGTTGTGGACAGTGGGTCATTGAGTGTGATGGGGAAACTGGGGTGCCCATGTGACGAGGCTTCAGGTGCCCGCGGCCCATCCACAGAGGGGAGTCAGGTGGAGAGAGAGTGGGTTTGGGGTACCAAGGAGCCGTCAAGACCGGAGACAGAAATGGGAGCATTGTTAGTGAATAGCTAGTGTTTATGGCCATAGGTCTGGAGATTCTCCCTGGCTCCCCAGGGGCCTGGGTGAAGAAGGGTTAGGGGCTGGACTAGGAGGGAAGTAGAGGCAGAGAGACTGAGAAGCACTCGCCAGAGAAATGACAGGGACCCAAGAGTCCCGAGGGTTGCAGACTGAGTAAAAAGGGCAGGGCCCCTGTGAATGACAGCCAAGTCCTCAGGCGGAAGGACACCAGGTCTGGCACCATGAGGCCTGCAGAGCTAAGGTGGGCCCCAGAGCCTGGCCGCACAAGCTGGAAGCTGATGCTGGCCCCACAGAGCTTTCCAAGGGGTTCAGCAGGTGGAGGGGACTTCACCAGGGGCTCCACAAGCCCCGAGGAGCAAGTGACATTTATTTTCTGAACTCACTCATAATGAATTCAAATCACTCCGCTTTTCTGAATTCTTCATAATGAAAAGGCCTATCTTTTGTAATGAAAAAAAAAATAGATATTATTTTTTGTTTTTTAAGTTTTTTACAGCCTTATTGAGGTGTAATTGATGTGCAATAAACTGCACATATTTGAAGTGTGCAATTTGATGAGTTTTGGAATCTGTAACACACCTGTGAAACCATCACCACAATCAAATAACAGACATTTCCATCACTCCCAATAGATGTTGTTTTGTTGTTGTT